AGAGTGTCGAAACCAACTATAAAACATAGGTACATTACCAAGGAACATGTATGAAAAAGTGGGGAATGAATGGGAAAGGTTGGCGTCCTTGACGCTCTGAGAGGCGCGGGGCGCCAGCCCTACAACTTCAGAAGGGGCCTGCTGGCGCTCTGCTAGGCGCGCCGGCCCAAGGGGGAAAGTTCAGAGCCCCTTTTGGGGCGCGCTTGCAGGCGCGACGCCCTACCCTTTTTCCCCGAAAAACCGACTTTTCTCCTTAGTTTCTCCAACTCTAAAGCCTCTCAACAACAAAGATTTTTCCCCCAAACACTTAGAATCATCAAAACCCTCAACATACAATAGATTTCAACTCACAAACACCACCGGAAACATGTCCCAAATCAACAAGACTTCAACACACAATCAACAACATCAACAACACAACCAACAACTTCAACAACACAAACAACAACTTTTCTCGAAATTAAACGAGTTTGGCATGTGGGGGAAAGAACCAACCCAACACTATGAACTCACATACCTAGTAGGGATCACCCCCGACGATATCCACGACGATCTTGACGAATCCTTGCTCTTTCTTCTCTTTCTCCTCTTCTTTTTCTCTTCTCTCAAAAGCCCTAACTCTCACTCTTTTTAAATAGGGAAGAATTGATCAATAAATTCAGTCTAACACACTAATATATCAAAAAGGATTGATTAGGGAAAAGACCAAAATACCCTTACAATTTCCGGACTAACTTCCCTTACCAACAGCCCAACTTCGAAAGGGCATAACTCACTCATACGAACTCAGAATCGAGCAAACTCGGTGGCGTTGGAAAGATCATTCCACGAGATTTGCAAACATAACTGAAACTACACCTAACTCATCCTGATCTAGGAGTTATTACTGTTCAAAGTTGACCAAAAACTCATTTTTTCCATACTTGGCCAAATTTCCAGATTTTTAAATTCTTTCCAAAAATGACTATTTCCGATTTTCAAGCTTCTTCATAGTTATCAACTTGCAAGATGTCACATATATTCCAATAAATTTCATTAAAAATTAATGTAATTCTCCATGTTAAGATTACAGACACTAATCAATAAATTAAATTGCTGACGAATTTAATTTAATGATTAATTTCCTTTAGAGCACTATTTAACTTATTTCATGTGTCGGATTCAAAAATTCACTTGCAAAATTTAACAAAATGAAAACTTATAAGCTTCTCAAAAAGGCATATAATCAATTTTTATACTGAGACATGGATTTCATCAACTAACTTATTATTTCACTAATGTATATTATTATCATCCAATCTACTAGACATATTGACCGATCTCAGAATCTCACATTTTAATAAATCAAAATGATAATTAATATTATGATATCTTGATTAAGAATATAAGTACATTTAACAATATAGAGAATATGCTTTTGTCAGTCAGTCTAAAACAACTATCTATGCTCGATCTCGTTCAATACGTACAAAATGACTAGCACAAGAAGTTGGAATTATATCAGTCACATAATGAAGATAAATTGCATACAATCTTGTGCTACAATCGTACCGGTGACATGTCCAATTTTCATCTTAGATTGTGAATAAAAAAATTAATACTTATAAGAACCAATGATTTAATGTTTATACCTATTCACTAAATCATATTCACTAAATCATCTACTATATAAGTAAGCAGACACCCTAAATGAATATATGATT